GAATAGACCCTTACTCTCATACATGGCCCTTATTTTCTAAGGTTTAATCATTCTGATATCTTACCAGGATGTCAGAAATTTTAAGGGGAGGTATACATCATTTTGCTGAGCTAAAAATCCTAGCTTCCTTCAGGATTGCTTGAATTCTATCACTTTTTTTACTCTGAAGAGTAAATTCACACACAGGAATGAAATGAAAAAGATGCAAGTGGAATCAGCTTATACACTATAGAACGGTACACATTAAGAGTTGTTAGAATATATTACGCATTTTCTACTCCATATTTTTAAATTTTTAAATTTTATTTATTTTTGAGACAGAGGGAGATAAAAAGAATGTGTGGGAGGGGCAGAAAGAGGAGAGAGAGAGAATCCCAAGCAGGCTCTGCACTGTCAGCACAGAGCGCATTGTGGGGCTTGGACTCATGAACCATAAGATCATGACCTGAGGTGAAATCAGGAGTCAGATGCTTAACCAACTGAGCCACCCAGGAGCACTCTTACTCCATATTTTAAAAAATAACTATAATTCATAATCTGGCTGAAACACTGGCCACTAGTTTATCTATTATGATAAATAAAACTTTAAAAAGTTTAATAGAATTCTGCCCCTGAAAAATATTTGATTTCACATAGAAGTTTCTTGTCTTTTAGAGTTATCACCAGGAAATTTTAGTAGGTATTATTTTTTCCATCATTTCATTTGCTGTTACTTCTGATAGCTGTTAATGATATATCCATAATCTTATGTTGCCTATTTTTAGATATTCATAAGAAACAAGTATTTGGCTGAATAGAACAAACATATGCATTACTGTAGAATAAAATATATTTTCCATATAGTTACTATATAATCCAATCTGACATTAGAAAACAAGAACAAAATATTTTGATATATTGAATATATATTGGTATATATATTCCAATTGAATAATTGGTAGGACTCAAAGAGATGTATTTCTATATATTCCATTTGGTATATTAATGAGTGGTTTGAAAATTCATGACATTGAATTAATGTTATCACCTCTATAAGGCAATGAAGAGCACAGATATTTCCCACTAAAAGTAAGATATTTTCTAGGAAAATAAGGCCCTGCAGTATGGAAAATGGATTGAAAGGGAAAGAGGCTGAAAAGTCAGGTATCAGATAAAAGGCAACTATACTATCTCAGATAAAAGAATATATGGCTTTACAAATGTAATAGGAATAAAATTGTTAAAATGATATATTCAAAACACCAAGCAAATATAAAACCGAGAAGACTTAGAAACTGACATGATAGTGGAAGATTTCTTGGAGAGAGTATTTATTATTCTATTTCTGGTGTCATCTCTGATACCTGGCAAATTAGTAGGTACACAGTAAATAAGCGTTAAGTATTTTCCAGATTGCAAAATTTTCATCAGTAGAGAGAATACACACTGGTTGTTTTATGCTCAATTATAACTTGTAGTTATGCAATAAAAATTCTTATAGAATAAATATCCACTGTTACCCATTGAAAAAGACACTACTCCTTTAATAGTTTTCATTTAAAAGAATTTAAAATTGTCTCCATTGATCCAATTCTTAAGTGGTTTACAAATCTAAATTTATATAACTGTATATACATACTTCCTGGAACTTGTAAAAATTCCTTCACAGAAAAACATGATAAATGGTGTTTAGTTTCCTACCATTGTTCACAAAGCTAACTTAAGCCACAAAACAATAAACAACTCTATGCTTACCTTTACCATAATAATATTAGTAAATAAAATAAATGAAAATACACAGTATTTTGTGGTATTGTCGTTAATATTTTCTAACATGGACAGTGCACTACAAGCTAAGCTATTCACTGTTCCCACAATATCTTTACTTACTTTCTCACATCCTGACTTCTCAGCAAACACAACCCCACTCATCAACCCCTATACTGCCACACACATCACACACACATGATATAACTGGGAAAAAGAGGTGTGAAATTTTAGCTTTCCTAGGAGCTAAAGTAACTATAAATATGAGGACTGCCATTCACTATTAGTTCAATTCTGTATATTTTGATATGTACTGAGATCAAGTTCACTTTTGGGTGACTGTATAACATTCAAACCTAATAGAAGAGTGATCTTGAATTTGGTAAAATAGTTGTAATAACAAAATTAATTAATTTGGCTGTCAGGATGTAAACAGAATTGTCTTCAAAGATCTTTGTGGATAAAGAATATATGCAGAAAGATTATACATACCCTTGTATATATTCTATTCCTGAGCTCCTTTCTGTATAGCTTCAAAGGGTTCTGAATTGTGGCAAATTCATAAGGATTACTAATTGTGATATGTTTTAATAGAAGAAACAAATGCCTTTTCATTGTTCCTTCCGGACCTCTAATTCTAAGGAATCATTGATTTCTTTATATAATTGACCCTTAACAACACAGGTTTGAACTTTGTAGGTCCACTTCTACGTGGAGATTTTTAAAAAATAAATATAGTGAAGTATGGTAAATATATTTTCTCTTATGATTTTCCTGATAACATTTTCTTTTTAAAATTTTTTAATGTTTATTTATTTTTAAGAGAGAGCGAGAGAGAGCAGGGGAAGAGCAGAGAGAGAGAGAGGGGGAGACACAGAATCCGAAGCAGGCTCCAGGCTTGAGCTATTAGCACAGAGTCCAACATGGGGCTCAAACTCACAAACTGAGAGATAATTACCTGAGTCAAACGTTCAACTGACTGAATCATCCAGGCTCCCCAATAACATTTTCTTTTCTCTAGCTTACTTTAAAAATATAGTATATTATATAGTACAAAATATGTGTCAGTAGATTATATACTCAGTAAGGCTTCTGGTCAACAGTAGGCTATAAGTAGTTAGGTTTTGGGGGAGTCAAAAACTGTATGCAAATTTTTGACCATGTTGGGGGTTGGTGCACCTTACTCCTCTGTTGTTCAAGGGTCAAATGTATATTTTTCTGGATTATACAATATTTGGATTTCAATTATTTCCTTTTTTCTTCAAAACTATTGGAATCTTGAAACAATGAGGTTGACCTGAAGGTATAAAAAATACACACTGGAAATAAATTAGTTCATGGAGCTATTCATTCGCTTGTGGGGGCAACCCATAACAGGCTTATTCCTTCCTGGAGCTATCAAAATCTATTTACTACATCCCATGGATCTTGAATGGGAAATGGTTTCTTCTAGGAAAAGTATTCCCTTCTGGTCTCAGCTTGTCTTCCAGTTCAGAAAATAGGATTTCGGTCACATGATAGAGAACAAATGAAAATCTTACAAAGGCATCATTGTCTAAACTAGCCTGAAGTGTCAAAAACAAATTAGAATGAATGTAAGTCCAAACATTTGAAGAAAGGTATGTAGTTAATTTTATGGAGTGTTTTTGTTTTGGAGAATTAATGAAAAAAAGGTGTCCTATTTCTACCGATATGTGGAAAACAACCACCTTTGAAAGATTCTTATTGATTTAGGGTAATAATATGTAAATTAAGAGTGAAAGTACATTGTGCCACTTAAATTACTCCATAGACTAACAGACTCCATTCTCTTTCCCTTATAAATATGCGTAGGAATAAAAATTAGCAGTGAGATCATCATGTAAGTAGCATTGTCCTAGGGATTTCTGGTTTTGTTTTAATAGTTCACTTAAAAAAAAAAAGTTTATTTATTTATTTATTTATTTATTTATTTTTTTTATTTTTTTATTTAAAGTCAACACTGGGGAGGGGCAGAGGGGGAAAGAAAGAGAGAGAGGGAGAGGGAGAGAGAAGAAGAGAGAATCTTAAGCAGGCTCTGTGCTATTAGCACTGAGCCCAACTCAGGGCACCATCTCACAAACTGTGAGATCATGACTTGAGCTGAAATAGAGAGTCGGATGCTTAGGTGACTGAGCCACCCAGGAACCGTGTTTTAATAGTTCACTTTAAGAAAAGTAGAAATCTTTTAAGTCTAACTGAACATTGAGAAAAGGACTATAAAACCAAGAGGTGGCAAGAGCCAGAAGAGAGGACATCTTCATATTCTTTGGTTGGTTCATTGCATTTTATCTACCTAATGTCATATTTCAGGAACCAAAAATATGTCAAGGTGATTCATGTCTAGAAAATTTTCTTATTGGTAAGAACTTATCAATAAAAATTTACATTACCAATAAACAAGATTTCACTAAGTTTGAAACATTTACAATTGATTTTCAGGTAATAAACAATTTACTCTTTCATTTTTTACTAGCATAAACATTCCAACTATTATGACTAACTTTCCATAGAATTAAATAATACTGAAAAAGAATAAAAGGAACATATCCTTTTAATGTATGCCTAACCCATAGCTCAAAAATTATACAAATTTATTAGTATATAGGATATAAAATAATTTAAATATTTACATAAGACTTAATAGAGTTAATATTTCTTTTAATACATTGAAAGATATGGCACGAAAAAGTTTTGATTGATACGTCTTTCTAAAAATTTATTATATGCCAGGTACAACTTTATTGCTTTCCCTCTGAATATCAGTGAACCAATGGTAAGCCAAGGACAAAATTAAGATTCACCAAAATTAAGATTCATCGTTAGTAAATAAATAATAATAGGAAGAAAACACTCTACTATTAAGAAAACCAAAGCAAGTCTTGGTTAACAAGAAATTTTAGACTTGCAGAAGAAAATATATATTAGTATTAATATTTGCAATGTGATCTAAAAAAACCTTGTTAAGATTTGTCACTTTATTACTTAAACACTCAAAATAACCAAACTCTTCACCAAATCTACTTGAATTCACATAAACTTCTAATTTTAAAGGCATATAAACTGTCTTTACTAAAACAAACACCTTGAAAAGAAATGAGTAGCTCTAACTATGGTAGTCAAACTGCTCATAGTATGCTTCATGGATTTGAAAAATGCTTTAAATTCATGTAGTGACAAAGCCTACAATCCCTTGATCAAAAATATATGAAAGGCAAAAATATTGTGAATCTTACCTGTAACAAGAAAGCTGCATCTCCCAGCTCCAGCTTCATTAATGATGCTACAATTATAAACCCCATAGTTTTCATTGGAAAGACTCTTCACTGGGTATTCTGTATACTCTTGAGAGTCAAACTGACCCGTCCGTAATAATTTATTGCCCAAGCGCCATTCATAGGTCAGCACCCGTATTGGATAGGCTCTCAGGACCCGGCAGCTCATAGTAACACTTCGGTCTTGTCCTTGCCGAATTTCCAGGAACGCTGGTTCCACAGCAGGTGGATCTGCAGAAGAGATGTTAAAACAGATAAAACATGTGGTCTGCAATGAGCCAAAGACTATTCTTATTCTAAGAAGCTATTTTTAAGAACACATCTAGCAACAAGGAGTAAGAGGTGGGTGGAGAGCAACACCAGGAATTTTAGCTTGGGATGGGAAATGGGAAACATCATTTACTGACTGTGGGCAGTGAATGAGATTCACTGCCTTGAAATATCATTTGCAGGTGAAAGTAGCAGAGTTCATTTTTTTTTTTTTTTTTTAGCTACTTCCCAGAACAAACCATCATGACTATGTTTATACTGCCAGCAACCAAATGATGTTGTAGGTGTAAAATGCAGTCTCCAAATTAGCATGAGACTTTGAAACAGACGAAGTCATTGGTTCAAGTCAGTGAATTCTAATTATTCCCAGTTTGGCTTCTGAACTACCTATTATTTAATAAAGTAGGTAACCTAAGTTTATAAATTTATGTTCTAAATTATTTGGTCTGAACACATTTGACTAAAATTCATAATATTCATGGGTAAACCTTAAGCAAACTTTGCAAATTATAACACAGGTGGATGAGGTTTCTAACTCACTGCAATGATGCATTTATCTGCCTTAATTGTGATTTTTTCCATATAATTAAAACTTGCTACATTATATACCTAACTTTTTTGTTTTTGATGGAAAGATTTCTGAAAAGTTTTTCATACATACATTTCTCATTATATAGAGTATGCAAATTATAATCCTTTACCTCATGACTCCCGATGGTTATAATAAATAACAATTACTTCCTAGACACTAAGGACAGGATTCATTTAATCAAATAAACTGTCTGTGACCACTCAGGATTGCACTGCACAGCACTATCACATCCTTGACTAGATGTATATGATACTCTCCTGAGTAGTATAGAGCCATACATACTCTCTTGTGTAGTATAGGAGCCATACAACTCTTTCTGGCATCCCTTCCTTCAAGATGCTAAAAGGTTTTAGGACTGCCTAAAGGCACTAAGTTCACCCTCCAATATTCTTTACATGTTACTCCAATACTTTTTTGTAGTATCGCTGTCCCTTCTCATTGCCAATCTGTTGACTCATCCTTCTTGCTTCTCTCAACAAATATATTTAAACTATCTCACTGTTCTAATTTTATTCATAAATTCAATTTTTGAGCTCTTCCTACATAAGTGCTAATTTTTTTTTAATGAATGAAAAAAATTCCTGCCTGCATGAAATTTATGATTTAACACAACAGGCAGCTATTTAAATAGCTGATTTACAAAACTGAAGTACAAAAAACAATTCTAGGGTAGAAAGTAAAGAAGTGAATAACACTGAGGATTCACCAGGCAAGGCATCTCAAGGAATGTGATACTCGAGCTGTGTCTTCCAGGATATACAGGAAATGGTGAGGTTGGTAATCAATCATCCCAGGTAAGGAGATTAATATGTGCAAAAGGTAAAGAGAAAGTAGAGAGGAGGTGGTGTTCAGAGAAGTATAAGTGAATTGGCATAGCTGGTGAACAAAGGGTACATGAGTGCTTCAGAGGAAATAAAGATGGAAAGAAAGGAAGGGACTCTAGTCAAGAATTTCTGAATGTCATGTTATGGAGTTTGGATTTCATCTTGTTAGTGGTGAGGCTCATTAATTTTTTTTCTATTGTACCTGTTAATCCCTTTCATCTATTTCATCCAACCCCCACCACCTTTTCCTGTGGCAAACACCAGGTTGTTTTTTGTTATCTACCAGGAGTCTGTTTCTGTTTTGTTCATTTGTTTCTTCTGTTAGATTTCACATATAACTGGAATCATATGGTATCTGCTTTTCTCTGTTTGACTTATTTCACTTAGCATAAACCCTCAAGGTCCATTTAAAATTTTTTAAATGAAGGTTTTATATGACTAAACTGATCTTTTAGAAAGAATGTTTGGGCAGATAGGAGGAGCATACTCAAAGGAAAGAGTCTAGTTACAGAGAAAATGAGAACATCATTGCTGAAAGTCTGAACTAAGGCAATGTCAATGAAACCACAAATGATGCCTTAGACAATGAGGTGGATACGGTGTCAGTGACGAAGACAGAGAAAACAGGAGGGGTAGTTTAGTGTACGGTGGACATGTTGAACTTGTGCACCTGCTAGTCAGACAGTAGGGATACCAAGTAGGCAACTGTTTCTTCATTTCCAAATATATATGGGTTATGTTTTATTATCTCTTTGTTCTGATTTTTGCTTAATTGGATCATGGTCAGAGAAAATAGTCCATGTGTTTTCAATCTTCTGAAACTTGTTGAAGCCTGAGTTAGCCCAATATATGACTAATTTTTGTTCTGTGTATGCCTGCAAAGAAGGAATAGTCTGAAGTTTAGGAGTGTGATGTGGAACTGTTTGTTGGGTCAAGTCTGACAAATGAGTTATCCAAATCATCTACATAGTTATTGGGCTTTTACCCTATTTGTTCTACTTGGATTAATTTAGAAGAGTGTTAAGCTCTTCTAAAATGGCAATAGTTTAAAATTTTTTCTTATAGTTTTCTCTACATTTTGCTCTACATATTTTTTAATGTTTATTTATTTATTCATTTATTTTTTGGGAGACAGAGAGACAGAACATGAGGGGGAGGGGCAGAGAGACAGGGAGACACAGAACCTGAGTGGACTCCAGGCTCTGAGTTGTCAGCACAGAGCCCGACTTGGGGCTTAACTCAAGAACCATGAAATCATGACCTAAGCCAAAGTTGGAGGCTCAACCGAGCTGCCCAGGCACCCCTGCTTTACATATTTTGAGGCCACGCTATTAAGTACATACAAATTTAAAATTGCTTTATTTTATTGGTAAACTGAAGGTTTTATCATTTTGAAACAACCTCCTTTATCTCTATTAAGGTTGTATTATTTAAAACTATTTTGTCTCAATTAATACTTACTCTGACATTGCTTAGTTAGTAGTTGCAAGCTGTCTTTTCCATACTTTTAGAGTTCCATTATCCTTATATTTTACAAGTGTCTCCTTTAAACAGCATGTAGTTATATTCTATTTTTTCAAGAAACCTTAGCAATATTTCAATTTTACCCACAGCAATTAACACTTTGTTTACATTTACTGACTACTGATACATTTGAGTACAGATGTACTCAACAAATGTAACTGTTTTGTACTTCCTATTTGTTTTGTGGTCTTTTTTCTTTCTTTTAGATTTATGGACTTCATGATTATTCCAACCCTTTTGCTGCTACTAATTTTAATTCTCTCTTTTTTTAAAAACAATTGAACATTATAATTTTATATCTGCACTAATTTTTAGAATTATTCAGATATATGCTGGCTCATTTGCCTTTAATTCATTCTTTCACTATATACCTTAAAATTCCATGATCATTTTCCAAATTTTGCCTCAAGTACATCATTTAGAATTATCTTTTTAAAAAAATTTTTTTTTTCAACGTTTATTTATTTTTGGGACAGAGAGAGACAGAGCATGAACGGGCGAGGGGCAGAGAGAGAGGGAGACACAGAATCGGAAACAGGCTCCAGGCTCTGAGCCATCAGCCCAGAGCCCGACGCGGGGCTCGAACTCACGGACCGTGAGATCGTGACCTGGCTGAAGTCGGACACTTAACCGACTGCGCCACCCAGGCGCCCCTAGAATTATCTTTAATGACCTTTCTGGTCTTGATTTTCTGAAAATATATTTTTAGCCTTATTCTTAAAAGATATTTTCCTTTTACATAATAGGATTAGAGGGTGGCACTGATTTTCTTTTAGCATATTAGGATATAGTTCTACTGTCTTCAGATGGCTTTTACTGCTATAGACAAGTAAGCTTAAAGTCTCACACTTTAAAGTTCTTGTTTTTGTTTCCTCCAGGTACATTCAAAATGTTTTTACCTTTGATATTTGATAGCTTCAATATAATGATTTTAAGTGGATATTCTTTGTACCTAAAAGTTTGGGACCTGCTGGGATTTTTAAATCTGTTGATTTCAGTTTGGCATATTTCACCTAAGAAATTTCTGGAAAATTGTCATTTCTTAAATTATACCTGTGTTTTTTTCTTTCTATCCTCACTTGAAGGTCTTTTTCATTCATTCTGTCTTCCATGTCTTTAATCCCTCTTCCAACTTTTCTCTTTCTTGCTTTTTCTGCATTGCATTTTGAATAAATTCTTCTGAGCACTAATTCTTTCTTCAGTTCTACTTAATCTGGTATACCCATCCATTATGTTTTTATTATTATTTTAATGTTTGTGTTTGTTTATTTATTTATTTATATCCAAGTTAGTTAACATATAGTGTGATGATGATTTCAGGAGTAGAATTTAGTAATTCATTACTTACATACAACACCCAGTGCTTATCCCAGCAAGTGCTTTCCCTAATGACCATTACTCATTTAGCCCATCACCCTACCCAACACCCCACCAATAACCCTCAGTTCGTTTTCTGTATTTAAGTGTCTCTTATGGTTTGTCTCTCTGTTTTTATTTTTGCTTCCTTTCCCCTATGGTCATCTGTTTTGTTTCTTAAATTCAACCTATGAGTGAAATCACATGATACCTGCCTTTCTTTGAATAAATTATTTTGCTTAGCATGATACACTCTAGTTCTATCTCCATTGTTAAAATGGCAAGATTTCATTATTTTTATAGCCAAGTAATATTACATTGTTTCTATATACCACATCTTCTTTATCCATTCATCAGTCAATGGAGATTTGAGTTCTTTCCATACTTTGGCTATTGACAATACTGCTGCTATAAACACTGGGGTGCATGTGCCCCTTAGAATCAGCATTTTTGTATCTTTTGGATAAATACCTAGTAATGCAATTGCTGGGTCATAGGGTAGTTCTATTTTCAATTTTTTGAGGAACCTCCATACTGTTTTCCAGAGTGGCTGCACCAGTTTCTTTCCCACTGGCATGCTTTCTCTGCATCCTTGCCAACATCTGTTATTGCCTGAGTTGTTAATTTTTTTTTATTTAAAATAATGTAGCTTTCATTTATAAACG